GCTGGAGGACCAGTTGTAAATGTACCGCTTCATACCAATAAATGCTGACCTGATCAAATGGCGCCTAGGCGCTGCCCCTGAACACTGTGTGCCTGCTTTCTCTATCTCTCTGCAAAACATCACCCCTCTGGAGACTTCTCCCCCACCCCTGGGAGGGAGACACTGCTAAAATTCCAGGGGCCTTCCACCTGAAAAGGCCTCTCTGATGTGCCTGTGAGCTTCCCTTTGTGCCGGCAGCCCCTGCCAGAACGCAGAGCCTGGGAGGGCCTCTCCGCCTCCTTCACCCTGGTTCTAGCGCCTGTCAGAACTCTGTGCCCTGGACCCAGTGTCAGCCTCACGACAACACCCAGCTAAACCGGTGCCCCCAGAGCCATGAACCCTCTTGCTGGGGCTTGGACACACCACACCCCACTAGTCTCTTGGCTCCTGAAACCCCAGCAGTCAACCCGGTCTCCAAACAAGGGAAAAGCCAGCTCTGTACTCTGGAGCAATGCTCACAGTTCATCGGGGCTGGCTGGCTCTGGGAGGTCCGAGCCAGTTAGGCTGTGAGCTTCTGCCCCTCCCCACTTGAGCCCCAAAGTGACCTTAGCAGATCAAAATGGTCAAGGCTCTCCTCCCCAGCCACCTCCATCCCACCGCCCCTTTTCCCCCACCCGGTTTCCATGTATGTTTAGCCCCCAGCTTGGTCCTCTGAGGGCCGCATTCAGAGGCTAAAATGAAGGTCATTGTAAGTGAGGGTTCGGGTGGAGCACAGCCTTGCAGGCAGGAAAGGCAGCGCGGGCGCCTGGGTTGGGCGGCAGGTGGGGGCGGTGGCTGAGATCGAGGGGATCCTGATGAACCCCTTTTCCCCCACCCGGTTTCCATGTATGTTTAGCCCCCAGCTTGGTCCTCTGAGGGCCGCATTCAGAGGCTAAAATGAAGGTCATTGTAAGTGAGGGTTCGGGTGGAGCACAGCCTTGCAGGCAGGAAAGGCAGCGCGGGCGCCTGGGTTGGGCGGCAGGTGGGGGCGGTGGCTGAGATCTAGGGGATCCTGATGACAGAGGGGACTCGAAGAAAAAGCAGAGGGGGCCTGGGAGGGAAAGCCAAGGCCCAGATCCGGCAGAAGGTGCTGCGTACCCCGCCCCCGGCAGCCAGCCTGATACCTAGCGCTCTTTGAAAACAGGAAGAGCCAAGGTGTCATAAAGCCATCGAGCCGGCGAGACGTCTGGAGGTAATGAGTTTACGACAGGCCCGGCGCTTCGCTTTGAAACCATCTCATTTTGATGTTTGTGTTTGTGGGAGGAAAGGAAAAATGCAGACAAAATTGGGTCTTAAAATCTGGACAATAAAATATAAACAAGACTGCGTTGGACTAAGAAGGCAGGGGCTCAGGAGCACCTCCTCCCCAAGGTGTGAGCACCTAGGAAATAAAACAGAGGTAGAAAGAAGGCAATACACTTTGGATTTTTAAAATGGCCAGGTATCAGAAATAGCCTACAGCGGGTGGCTCATTATATATATTTGACTGTGTCCACAATCTAGCTGGTTCTTGAAACAACAAAAAGGCCTGTTATTTGGAAGTAGGCAGGTTAGTGATCTTGGATAATTCACTCAGACGAGAGACTCCCAATTACTCAGATGCCTTTTTACAAAAATATCTGGATCTCTACTCTAAACTTCACAGCAAAAACGTTGGAAATTACATCTATTCACTGATTTTTAAATACAATCATTACACCTGAATTAGAGGGAACTATTTTTGAAAATGGGGGAAGAAAAGATGAAACTCACAGGAAATACTTAAGCTGATTAAATAGTCTTTGCTTTTTAAAAACTTAGGTGCAATGCTTAGTAAATTCAGTTCAGTCTATGATTTTTTATATAAATTAAAAAAAATCCTCTCTATTGTCCATAGAAATTCAAACAAACGCAAGCCTAACAGGGACTTTCTAGACTCAGAGATACAGCAAAAAGCTTTTAATTTGGCATTGATCTACCCCTCCTCAAATTGCTCAGCTAAGTGTATTAAAATTACAAAGTTAAAATAACAAATATTCATGATTTAGTGCTAAGAGTAACAGCTTTAAAATAAAAATAATAACATTTGAGTTCTATTATTCCTTGGTTGAGTTCTATTATTCCTTAAGAGCATGGATTGGGTTTTCTTAAAAAAGTCTTTTGGCAGATATTTAGAAAGTTGTAATTCTTGTTAAATATAGCCTCTCCTATAATTGTGCTTAAAATGCACAACTGGGGGATTACAGAATGGGGACCTACGGTGTCTGGTAAAAAGAAGGTAGAAGCTTTTGGAAAAGACACTACTGAAAACTCTTGGGAGCACAAATGAGATATCTTTGGCATTCAGGAGCTCCTGTTCACTGCACTTGACTTGTTGACAATCAAAGGAATGAAGCATTATTAGTGTCAGCGGTCCAAGTCCCAGTCAAACTACAGAACAAGATCCGAATTGGCTTGAAATGAATAAAAAGAAAGTTAAACTCGGTGGGCTCTAGGTGGCATTTGACCACTAGAGAGCGCTGTTGCTCCACTTTCTGATCTCATAAGCTGGAGTTGCGGCAGAGGAAGGTTTTGATTAAAAATATTTACAAACTTATTTTAAATCCCAAATTAGGATAAATTTAACCAAAAATAAACAGTGTGCACTATTAAGTTCTCAACCATGTTTATTAAGCATAAAATTTTGGCTCAGTCAGGATTTCAGAAAATTTGGACAGTGGCACAGCTGAATCTATAAAACATGATGGTAAATTAATGTGTTTTATCAAAATGGAAGTGTATAAAAGGCACATATCCTTATTTACGAAGCTAACGAGTTTTTCCTACTCAGATTATAAACAGAATGCTTAAATATATATATATATTTTAAAAAACCGTTTTGTCCCACGAGGAAATGTGTTGTAATGATTTCTCAATCAGGCCTGAATGTGTAGAAGAAATTAATTTTGTGGTGTTCGTGTTTCTTTTCTTTCCCCAAGAATCACACAATTCCAGAAGGTGCCTTGTATCATTGAAATCTGTACTGTCTTCTATTTTCTTCCCATTCCATTCTAAAACTAACTCATTTATTGAGAGTTCAAACATGCACATGCACAGACGCCAGTGAAATAATAATAAAAAAAACCCACAATGACAAAGTTAGTTCTACGGTTTTATTGAAAACCATAATCTTTTAATTGAGTATTTGCAAAACTGAAGTACAATTCCTTAACTGTCAGAATCTGTTTTGCTTGACTTCTGAGTTGAAGGAAGTTACCTGGCCATTACCAGCAGTAAATAAAAATAAAACCAAAATTCAACCTTGTCCTTCTCCATCCCCACAACAGAAAGCTTCTGCATGCCCTAGTTTAAAAATTAAATAAAGCACGTCATTATCATTTCCAGATTCATTAAGATCCGTTTACCTTAACCATTTGTAGCCATTTCTTGTAGAAATTATTGTCATACATGATTATCTTGCTATGCCTTTCCATCTCCACCTTATTTTCTTCATTTGTAAAAATGATATTCAGTCCACACCAAAAAACCTCAGGCTCTCACACAGGCTGGGCCAGCCCACATGGAGTGAAGGTAGTTGAAGTCACTGGCCTGCTGTATCTTTGAGGCCATGGAGGTGGGGGGATTTTAGACATTTGCATTTGGCATAGAAAGTCAGCGTGGTGGTTTTGCTTTAAGCGGAAACGTCCACAGCGGGTCTAGGACTTGTCCTGGAGGTCAGTTCCCAAGGCCAGTGGGTCTGGTGCCCTTAGGACACTGGGTTATCCTAAAGGAAAAGGGGCCCAGTCAACCAAAAAGCCCACCAAAAGAGCCAAGTAAGCGAGGGAAAAAACATCCAACGGACATCTTACTTTTATTGTGCATTAAAACAGAGAAGACAGAAAAAGTGAGCGGGTAAGCAGCTGGCCGTGTAATGCCAAGCAGCTTGGAAGAGAGCTTCTAAAATCAGCAATGTTTTGCTATTCACAATCGACTTGCCCACACGACGGGGGCTGCTTATCTCATTGCCCGTCGGCTACGGTGAGTCTTCTCTTTTGGAAAAATTAGGAACTTTGAGGCCCGCGCTTGCTCCCAACAGTTAGTTCACAGGCTTGGCAGTCGAACTAGAATGGTTAGCAGGAGATGGGGGCCGCCTGCAGCTGCCTGGAACCGGTGCGATCCGAACGCCGGCCAGGAGGCTCCGCAAGAGGACTGGGGCGTCGGCCCCCCGCACTCCTCCCGGAGCCACAGCGTGGGTCCGAGGGCCGGGAGCTGCGCGCCTGCCCGAGGAAATACCACCCACCCCAGCGCGGGTCCTCCTTCCCGCCTTGGAACATTTCCGTGGCTCTTCTATTAGTTTCTCAGCAGTCCTAATGCCCCCCTTCACATTCTTTAGCCTCCCCCCTGCGCCGGGTGCTGACGTCTATCAAGGGTGAAATGATGGAAACTATATTCATGGGCATGATTTCCATTAAATATCAATTAACCTGGGAGCCTTAGCCAGGCATGCAGTGCGTCAAGGGTAAATGTACATCTCATTTCCACAAGGCCCCCACGGCTGGAAGAGAAGGGCTTTGACTCGCTTTGATAACGCCAGGATTTGGGGCCACGCTTGAGGCCTCTAGTGAAGTCACTTCGAAAGGCCCAAACTCAAAGGCACTGTCCGCTCCGTCAGTACCGCTTGTCCACGTTCCCCGAGCTGCTCCCGCATGTCCAGAGATGCAAAAGCCACGGCCAATCTCTTTTGAGCGGCCCCAGGGGATGGGGACGGAATCGTTTGTTCCGCAGGCTCCTGGGAGTGGCCGCCCTGCCTCCCCCAAGTGTAAGGTTCTGCCGCGCCCCCTCCCCTCGGGCTCTGGCCCACATTCCGCGACCCAGGGGGCACAGCCAGCCCTTGGCTGAGCGGCTTTACGGGCCCCCTTTAAGGCCGGCGGAGGCATCTCGGGGCCGGCGTGAGGCGTCCCGTCGGGCGCAGCGAGCGACTCGCCTCCGCGCGGATCCCTCCGCGCAGTTATCTCGCCCCCATCTCGCTACCTCTCCTCGCTGTGGCTTGGTGCGAAAATGCCTCGCCGGCGCGCACCGGGGCGGCAGCCTCGGCGGCGGCGGCGAGAGCAGTGGGAGGGGGCCGGGGGGGAGGCGAGGTGAGAGGTGGCGGCGGGCAGAGGGTGTTTTTTTTCTTTTCCCTCCAGAGCGGGGGTTTGTAAACTGAAGCCAAAGACTGTCCCCGTGGGCCGGGCGCACTTTTTTTCTGGTCCCTGTGCGCTCAGGGCCGCCTGGTGCTTGAGAGGAAACAGTGGAGGCAGCGGGGCAGGTCACCCGGGGCGCCGGCAATTATAT